TTTAATCGTAAAGGTCCAATTCGGGTTGTAAGCTGTTCGAATGAATCTATGTTCATGGACAAACTCGTGTTGACGAGAACGCCGACGCCGCCGACTCCTTTGCTGTCCATTTTCCGAGGAAAGTTTTTCGCCGGTGTCATACACGTCGTTGAATGGGTGGCGTCGTTTCGTCTCGGTCAGGCCGATGACGTCGTACCTCATTCTTCTTGCTTCCATGAGCAAGTCTTCTATCGAGAACTCGCATGCAAGTGTACGTGCATTTTAGGTACAGATCGTCACCATGGTTCTTTGAAATCCAAGCAGCTTCCATTGGGTCTGAGATTTTAGTAGCCTCTCCGTTCTCGTCCTACCCAACGCCGCGAAACTGGGGGCTCTTTCGGGGTCAGGGGAATGAGGCCCGTTTGTCGTTTGTTTTTTTTTTACTGTTTAGCGTTTCGATGCCCACGCATAGCTTGCTGGGCTCCAAACGTGGGACTGGGTATACTCATTGGTGGCTTGCCAGGCTGTCCCAGAGTGGACATGGAGCTTACTTGTTGGAGGCGTCTCCTAACCGCCTCCCATATACTTCCCTCTCATTCGATTGCAGGCTTTTGGCCGAATTTACTCATAGAATACAATCCGCATAAGCAAGAACGCACCCACACACGCATGCATGAATACGCCTAGCAAATACAGAAAGTATGTGCCAAATCAGCGCAGCAGAAACAGGGAGTCCATCCCCTGGGTCCACCTACATCTCAGGGAAACAAAGGTCGCTCTTGGTCCACGATTAACGCCCTATCCTGCACCTGGGGTCCTGCCACGTAACCTCGCGACTAATCGGCTTGATATCCTTCACATGAGTGAGATCCGTGAATTGCAGTAAATGAACGCCAATCCCCAACGCGAAATCGAGGGCATGAAGGTGGGCCATGCTTAATACTCGCGATTGACTTGTGGAAGCTTAGTGTTGATTCAAAATCTTGGTGCTTGTCTGCAGAACCAGTGGATTTTCTTTCTGGTTTGTGCGAAGAAGTGAACTTGTACTTGACTCCGACCGACCGGTGCTCAAGTTTAAAGCACAAAGAGTTCAGCGTTAGCTAATTTTTTACGAGCGCCGCGAGCCGACGACTTCGTTTAGAGTGAAGAGATGATAGAGGACACATCTGGCTTGTGCAATGACTTCTGTGAACCTATAGATATACTAAATTACTACCAATAAAGCTGATAAAGCCGAAAGAATAAAAACTGGCTGAGAAAAAGACAAAGAAAGAGCCTTTGTTGGTGTGGTGGATTGCTTTTGAACCCCCTGTAAAGGTAACCGCGTGTTCGAAACCCCTGAGTGTTCTAGGTTTTGCTCAAATCGCGGCATCCTTGTGCTTGTACTCCGCAACGTATTCCGCCATTAAAAATGAATGAGCGTTTAATAAAAAAAAAAGTAAAGGCATTAATACGTTACCATTTTCATCCTCCCAAACAAATCTTTCACTAATTTTCCAGACGATGGAGAGATGAAGAACATGCTTTGTTCTGGGCGTAGGATCGAACTCACAACACTATGCACCATTGGGCTAAACGCGCTGACTTCGGACGAAATACACAATAAACTCGGCCACCATTACACTAAAAAGAAGAGCCATTCCTATATTTTTGAAAACATCCATCTTTTCTTAACGTCTGCTTCAGTGGAAGTAGACACTGCCTAAGTGATTTACCCCGAAAACTTTCACCAGGTCACTTAATTCCCATCTGCGATCCCTGTCGTTTACGCATAACATGGTTTTTAAAACTACCTACGTGGGAGAAATCGGCTTATGGTTGGATATTTTCCGATCCTAACCAGTTTTCATGCGAAATTTGGTGATGAGCAGGAAATGATAAGGTGATTTCGAGTCATCGAAGTGAGCACCATAGAGTATCCGGACAAGAAGACGTGCAAGTATTAACAACGCCTGAACATGACGGAAATCGAAGTCCTTCATTGCTGTGCTAAATCAATTCTGGAGACAACCGTTTTTCTTTCTCCACAATCATGTTCAGATATTCTACGATTTTGTAACTACTTTCTTCTCTTACTCAACAATTATCTTTAAGGACGAAGATTACTATATTGGCTATTTCCTTGTCTAAATGGGAAAGGATAAAGCTTTCGGCATTGGTTCATCTTTTAGGAATACGCTGTAAGCCATCGATTTCACTAGGTATCGTAGAGTGCATATTTGGCCTTTAAAATGATAGGCTACTAATGTACCAGTTCAGTGTTTTGTTATCCTCCAAGGCACTTATACTACCGGTTTGTCGACCTTAGATGGATAGGAAACATGGTCGGCACTTGTTGAGGATTCGAACTAACCAATGCGTGTGTATTGCAGAACACTTCTAATGGATAACTTCTAACAGTAAAACTTCTACACACTGCACAAACTACACTACAACTTTTAACTTCTACACAAGCCCAGTGAATGCAGTAGGGTAAAGGATAAAGCTCTCGGCATTGATCAATTCCTGAGGGATGCACCATGCGTTCGACTTCATTAAGCATCGTTTGGAGGTGATCGAATGCATAACTGGCTTTTACAATAACTCGCGGTGGCCTACCGATGTATCGAGTCAGTGCTGCTGTCTTCCCAGACAAGTCTGGTACCAGTTTGCCGACCCCGGAGGGATGGAAGGCTTGGTGGGGCATGGACGCGGGGATCGATTCCACGTGTGTATCGCAGTGGTGCCTCCAACCACTGCGCCACACGCGCCCGTCGCATGTAGGGATATAAATCAAATAATGAGACTCAGTGTAACAAAAAATAAAAACAAGACGCTGGTGTATACTTATCACCAAAAAACTCAATAGTTTAGAATCCCAGCCCATTGCCATGTGAACGTTATGGATATAGACTTGCAACCCGGCGATGATCGCACGGATGGTCGTAGTCCGATAATGCAATACTGTTTCACCACATTCGACACTGCAAAATCAGGTCTGTGTATGGTTTTTTTGGGAATCGACGTCTTTTTCTTTCTTTACATCAGGTTATTTTACATAAGAAATCTTATTACGGATTTCAGTCATATGGTGGATTTCATTCTTTTTACGATATTTTATAAGTTTAAACAGCTCTGAAAATCGAAGCGTTCGACTCCATCCAAGAGATTAGGCAACTTTGCTGATCTTTACTAGTTTGATTTCTTGGTTTTCCTCTCTGATTATAACGCGATCGATGTACACTTTTCTCGTGACTTTTTCACAAACATATTGGAGATGTTGTGTTTGGAAAATACTGAAATATGTAAAGTCATTTGTCACCTGTAGTTCCGTTTATCGTCAAGTGACTCGAGCGGACGCCACTATGTCTTCCACTTTCCCTGTCGCGTGCATGAATAGCCCAGTGGATTCTGCTGGCTCTAGGAACTCGCTGAGCATCATATCTTTCTTCTAGGCTTTTCGTCAAGAACTCTGATCATTGGGTCGGTGATCATCGTGCAGTGCGTCTGACATCCCGAGGAACCCAGTCACTAACGACTCTTGTCCATTGGTTGTCGCTCACATGCATTACGTGCTCGGCTTACCTTATTCTTCGAAAGTTTGGCGTATAGAACAGCATCTTTCATTTTGATCATTAATGTAGGTCGGAAATTCGGACTCTTCCTTTACTTGTGTAACACGGGATACTCCCAGCATCGTCCTTTCGATTGCATGTTCAACAACGCTGAGTGACCTTTCATTCTGCTTAGGCAGCGACCAGGATTCTGACGTAAACGTCAAGGCGGTAAGTAATTGGGTCAAAAAGGTGTGGCACGGAGTTGGATATTTTTTGTTGTTTTCACTACATTCCTCGATGCTCTTGAAAGCTCCCCAAGCCGCCGGTTTCCTTCTGCCTAACGTTGGAGCTAAGTCGTTCATCATGTTGATTTCTCGACCAAGATAGCCGTAACTGGAACATTCGGAGATATTCATTACTTTGAATGGTGCGTACGTAACTAATCCATTCCGCATGAACATCGTTTTTGTGAGATTTAGTGAAAACCAGTTTTTCCACAGGTTTTCTCAAAGTCGGCAAGCATTTGTTCCGCTTAGCTAATGTTTGGTGTAATACGAACAATATCAGCAGCAAAGCGAAGATGTGATTGCCGACCATCGGTTTTCACTCCCATGTTGGCCCATTACAGCGTTTGCATGACGTTCTCGAGAGTGTTGGTAAATAATTTTAGCGAGATGCTATCGCCTTGTCTAACCCTTTTGTTGACGTCGACTAATATCGTTGTATAATGGCGATATCTTCGTTATGAGATTTTTAAACAGCTCACGAAGAATCTTTATATACTGAGTAGGTACTCCCTAACTATTATGAACTTCCATGACTGCTTCTATCTCATTTGAGTCAAAGGCCTTCTTTAAATCGGTGAAAGTGAGACAAAGCGGTCTTTTGTATTCTTGCGATGCTTCGGTGAATCTTGTTGCCGTGTGCATATGGTCCATCGTGCTAAATCCTTTTCGAAACCCTGGTTGGTCGCACGGCTGTCTTTCGTCCAGTGTTCTATCAATCCTGTATAGGATGATTCGAACGAAGCCTTGAACTATAACACGGTCATGCTAGTCTTGCACTGAGTAGGGATCTTGCATTCAGACAGGTAACGTGTGAAGGGGCGAGCCAGTGTGTTGACGAGGACTGATGGAACGTTCCTCAGGTGTTCTGGTCTTATCCTGTTCGAACCTGGTGTTGTTCAATTTTTTACCGACGAAATAGCATGTCGCATTTCGAAAGGGAGAACCGTTGGTACAAAGAACATATCTGTCCTCCTTCATATGAGGTGAGATCTGAGTAGCAATCGTGGATGATATTCTCTGTCGCCTTTCTGTAAACTGTCACTCTTCCGTTTGGAGATCGGAATATAATCATCTTGGTTTTGCAATTGACGAAGCTTCTGTAGGGTTTGCGAATGCTCTTTACAGCCTCCGCATCTTCGTTGTTAACTGCTGCTCTTCGCGATTTAAGATCTTTTATTGCCTGTCCACATTGTTTTGCATGTTCGGACATGGGTTCGCGGATGCCCGCAACTCGTTCCATTCCATGCATGCGTATCAGCTCGAGCGTTTCCAAGGAGAGACGTCTCTTGGTGACTTTCGAATATTCAGCTTTCATAGCGCTAATGGGAAGATGTTGAATGAGCCGATCGGATTCCTCTTCAGTGTTATCAAGAACGGTATGTTCCTGGTAGCCGACTAATGAACTGAAAAAATCCTACTTTATGGTGGTTTTAGAGCTTCGTTTTTGAACTCGGCGGCTTTTTCTCCTTTCCGCGAGAAATAGAATCTTGCACGATGGAGACGATGGTCTGATCCCGTGTAGAATTTTGGAGCAATAACGGCATCGGCTAGGCAAAACCTTTTATTTACTGTAATGTGGTATATTTCGTTATGGCACTCTCTGTTGGGAAATCCCCACGTCCAGCATTGAGGGTGGGGATTCTGGAATTGCGAGTTTTTATGAATGTTCATGGCGGTCATGATAAACTCAGATATCCGCTTACAGTCTTCGGTCCTTTCAAATCCGTGGGTCCCAATGTGATATTCTTCAGACGTTCTTCTTGGTCCAATCTTGGCGTTGAAATGCCCAATGATGACCTTGAAGAATGTATGGTCTTCTCTGTAGAACTTCTCAAAGTGCATATAGAACGCTTCGACTTCTCCTTCGTCATAGTTTGATGTCGGCGTGTAGACGACGACGATTGTCAAAGCCGGAATTGATCCACGTCTTTTTAATCGTAAACGTCCGATTCGGGTTGTAAGTTGTTCGAATGGATCTATGTTCATGGACAAACTTGTGTTGACCATATGGCACACTTCCACTTCATCGTCAGAGCTTGATGTTGGTACGTAAACGACGAATGTTGTAAGAGCCGGTATTGTGTAAATATAAAATGTGTAGATATAGGTATAAATATAAATTCTTTTAAATTTTCAGTTGAATAAACGAACTTGAATTTGAAAAAAGAAACTTTAGCGTCACAACTTTTTTTGAGAATAGATAAAAATCTTATTTTGGCTTGATAGTGATTGATTTTGGCTTTTCTTTTGCTTTGTATGAAATAGTCCTGTGGAAAGCCTTAGTGAAACGATTCAAATCAGTTCCATCTAAGAATCAATCAGGTTTTGTGTGAACACACTTTTCTTTGCTCACTTTTAAAAGGAGGAAGAAATTCCTGGAAATAAAAGTATTGAGAATTTTCTTATTCCTTTTTCGTTGAGATGAAGTTTTTCTTATTTTGGGATTATTACTTGACTACTTAGACGGCCCGTCCTCACTGGTTGTGCGGGCCCCAGCATAATCTCCATTTTTCGGAGCTTCGTTGGTTTAGCTGTTGTGGTTCCCTGGAATCACGAGGTCAGCCTGGCCAAGGTCTGTCCCAGATCGTTACCACCACAGGCAGTCGCAGCCCTTGTGAATCAGAGGGGGATATGCCATCATGCGACTAGTTTAATGCTAGGACGGTGATGGATCTCGGTATTGGATTACTCTTAGCTAGGCTTCCTGATGGAAACGCCGTACTTCCTCTCAGCTTAGGAGACCCTGCAGTTTTTAGAAGACTTGCTGTAATAACACCTTCCAAACTACGATTATTTGCATCGTCGTTAATGTAATTAATCAACATGCATTTATATTGTTGAACTTACACGAGGTTATTAGAGATGTTCATTCGGCTAACGTTTCGACGTCTTCGTCTTCATCAGAGCCGATGATACCTGTCGGTGGTCGACAGTTATTCCTCTTCTCGATGTGGCGTCTTCATCTCGCATTGAACCGGATCTTCCTCAGTTGAGCACCTCGAATGAGCCGAACACAACCGCGACGCTCTTTTATACAGGGCGCTTGCTGTTGACATGATTATTAGTTGATGATAATTTGTTTTTCACCTGATAACTGACCCTGCAGCAGTCAGTATCTTGTTAGCTGGCACATATCGATTAGCTAGTCAATACTTTTGAAACCGACCGTCAGTTGAAAAACAGATTATCGTCAACTGATAATCATGTCAACAGCGAGCGCCCTGTATAAAAGAGCGTCACGGTTGTGTTCGGCTCATTCGAGGTGCTCAGCTGAGGAGGATCCGGTTCGATGCGAGACGAAGATGCCACATCGAGAAGAGCAACAACTGTGGACCATCGACGAGGATCGTCGTTTTTGATGAAGACGAAGACGTCGAAACATTAGCGGCATAAACTCCTCTAACAACCTCGTGTAAGGTCAGCAATATAAATACATTTTATAATACAATATTTTATCAGCGAGGTTTAATGAAGATCGATTTTAAAAGTGATGTAATTAATGTTGATTAGTCATTATTGCTAATTATTATTGATATCGTTGCAAAAGATGTGAAGAGCGTTATCGATTTCCTCAACACTTTGATAGGATACGGTTTTGATCTACCCGATCAATCTGTAGATTTTATTTTTTTCTTTGCTCATTTGAAGTTCTATATGACTTCCGCTATCTCATACTTCGTTATTTTTCGGTGACCAACGATTTTTTTCTAAGATTGTGTTAATATTATAGACTATCGAGCTAAACGTCGTGCTTGCCTTCGTGGCAACGACACCCAGCTCAGGCCTATCTACATCCAACACAAACGTAGTGGTATGAATGCCGAATGGGAGATTCGAGGAAGGGTTCGGAAACTCGACGAAACCAGTGCTACTAGAGTAGGTTAATTTTCCTAAAGCAACATTCTCTGCATTGGTTTCATAGCCTGATTGCGTCGTCGTCGATCGATCAGTCGTTCAGTCGATGCCTAGTATCGCTGCCACCATGGAAAGTGACATTGGCGTCTCGGTGGCGGAATTCTAGTCGTGAACCAGCCTCTGATAAAGATCTGGGAGTGCCCTATATTGACTATTTGTCATTCCAGGAACTGAGTTGACTTTCGCAAAGCAAAAAAATTGAATGAAGGAAGTGTTTGAATTGACACTGCATGTGATGATGAGCCATCCTTGCATTTAAACATATTAGGCTTTATATGCGCACCTACAATGAAATGGCAATGCCATTTAGGGAGTTAGAGGTTTTTTATTCAAATTTCTATCTTCAACTGCCACTATTTGGATCTTTATGAGGGCATGTAGATGTGGTGGGTGACGAGCTTCACTCAGGCTTTTGGTTGCGGTCTGTTCCATCCGCGGACCTAAAGCTGATGCAGTACGGCCAAAAGACGAAGCCTTTTTTTTTAGTTTCGGTATTTAAAACTGACATTCTTGACTTTTCCCGGTGCTTTTCTGGTGTTGACATTGTTTACCTACCACGCCGACAACTATATAGAGACTACTTATTGTGTATTGATCGGCAAGAAAACTGGCTGATCAACCGATGAAGCTGTTGCCATCCTTCACTAAGACGTCAGTGAATTGTTTTTGAGATATCTCAAATCAAATGATCAAGTAGATAGAAAATTCATAGAAAACTTTAGCCATATTTCTGAACTCCATTGCAATTTCAGTACTTTCTCCAGTCTAAAGCCTAAGCTTTAATAAGGAACACTTTGCTTAGTATATTCACCTGTATCACCTGTAGTCCCGTTGATCGTCGAGTGACTCGAGCGGCGCCAGTAAATCTTCCTTTTTTTCCGTGTCGCGTGCAAGAGTACCCAGTGGGTCCTGCTCGCTCTGGGGACTCGTTGAGCTTAGTGTATTAGTATTTGCAAATATCTCAGCATCATAGGGGTTGCATTTCAGATCATCCCATTCCGTGAAAAATAATAATAGATACTAAATAAAGGAGTTAACTCCACTTAGTATTTTTCCCAACACTCTCAGGTTATTAAGCTAAAACGAGACTGGTAAAAAAGATTTACTGTGCTAACGTTTCGGCACTTCGGCGCTTTTCAGAGCAGGTATCATACGAGTCGATTGTCGGCAGCAGTACTTCTCTGCGATGTAATTTTGGACCTTCGTAGTCCTATCGAATCGAGTTTTTTGGAGTGAAACACCGTTTGAGTGAAGTTTCTTCAATTAGCGGAATCCTTAAACACTTTTATGCAAGAGATTACACAGAGCGGTTTTTGCTCTGTTGCCGTCTGATACCCTCCGCTTAGTGAAGTAAACAATGATCGATGAAGATCGTGGAGGTCTTCAAATTCATGGGCATCCGTTGCCACTTTTCTTCTTCATTTTCGAAGTAGCTGTAGCTTTCTAGAAGATAACAAATGGATAAGAATCGGATCCTGTTTTTTGACCAATGGTCATGCACGAGTTTGCTTCTCACAAAGAAATAGGAAGTTTCTTTCCACTGTTTACGGAGTCGAACCATATGGCGTATGATCGTCGACGCGTAAATGACGCCATGGCGCACTGTGCCATGAGTTAGTAACTGAATCAGGGTCTTTAAATTATTCAGACATCTACTTTTAATGAAATAAGCTTAATAAATTTTTCATGAATCCAATGGAGTGTTGTAGCCGGAAATTCTTATGGAAGTTAAGTTGTGAAAGTATGTAATGGTTTATGGATGATCTCCTTTTGCTGACATCTTCCCGGTTCACGTCTGGCTGTGTTTTCTATCGTTCTACATAAAAACTGTTTTTGTGGTTTTAGGGAAGGTTATCGTTTCAGTTACTGTCCTATCTCGACGTTGTGGCGCTACGGATCGACGTTCTTAAAAAGGGACCTCGTCTGATAGCGAGACGTGTTGATGAACGACTAGCTCATGCGATCACATTTTGCGAAGAGATGTGTGGAAACGCCGATCTAAAGTGGGTGTTGTTGTTTTACTATCGTGGGACTTTACTACGAAACCCAACAGTGATTTCCGGTCAAGTTGGTAAACCTATTCACTCAGAACAGTGGCATACTAATTGACTTTCCTTGTAGTCTAAGAAATTTGTCAGTTGTTCCCAGGATCGACTTTCTATAAACCTCGGCATTGAAATGTAATCACCGTCCCTGCCGTAAGGGCAAATTACGCAATTTTTTGTTCGAACTAACCGACGACGTAGAGTAGCCGGTGGTATTCCAACTAGCGCTACCGGTTCCTCTAGATCTGCTCTTCTTAAGCATCGTTTAATAGCTACGCTTATTTCATCGCTAAAAAAAGACAACTTATAGGAACTTTCTTCTGGCCATGTGTTCCGCTTGGGCGCGTCGCTCTCTTTCGGAACTTATCCCGTTGGGTTACCATTTCGTAGCGCCATTGGAGATGGCTATTTGCCGAGCCAAGTCGCGCGACTCTTTAGTTCCCTGGTAGGGTACACAGAGGTGGCTGTTCGAAACATGTTTCTCATAATCGCCCTCTTTGTGTGTGAAGGGTGGGAAGAAGGGAAATGAGCGAGGAAGAACTCCAATGGCTACGAAATAGTAACCTCACGAGATACGTTTAGAAGGAGAGCGACGCGGCCAAGCGAAACACTTGGCCAAAAGAAAGTCCCGTTTATGTTGCCTTTTATTAGTGATGAAGTAAGCGTAGCTATTAAACGATGCTTAAGAAGGGCAGGTCTGGAGGAATCGGTAGCGATAGTTGAAATACCACCGGCTACTCCGTTGTCAGTTAGTTCTTAACCACGTGTATGACCGTCTATGTGAAACAACAAATTGCGTAATTTGCCCTTACGGCAGAGACGGTGACTGCATGAGTTCAGGTACGATATACCTGATCTCTTGTAATAATTGCGGAGATGAATATATTGGCGAAATGGGCAGACCTTTGTGTGTCCGTATAAAAGAACACCTAGATGGCTAATGAAAAGTAAGACAGAGTACTCCACTAGGCACACATAGGATACAAAAGCATAGCGGAGGCGATTTTGAAGTAAAAGTCAATATCCTTGCACAGGAGACTAAAACACCATCGCGAAAACATCTTGAGGCTTTTGGGATGAATACCAAAAACCCTACAATGAATAGCAGGGATGAATGCCCAGAGGTCATGCGCAACCTGACCCCGTTCGCATCAATTTCTGATGTGGGATGGTGCAGTCATCAACCATGTGCGACTATAATCAGCTGTTCTAAACTTCCTCATTGGAAGACACGTAAAAAGCGGTGAGTTTTTCAAGCTGTTGATGATGTAATTACCATAGAGTTTTTCGTCTTTTTGCAAGTGTTATTGAAGCGTTTGGCCTAGTCGATTGTCTATCAGTATACCCTTCCCGGCTCTGAAGAAGGCGATACCGCCAAATCGTCAGCTACTGTTTTATTGTATTTTGTCAGCTGTCTTGTATTTTTACGAAAGTCACCGTATTTTTGCGATATTTTCAAGGTTGGTGCCAACTATGATGACTACTTTTGAAGCGCGTTGTAAGTGAAAAAGTGGGAAAATTAATTGCTTACCGTTTACTATACTTGTATGATCTGTTTCTCCGTCTTAGATTGCCTGGTATGTGTGGTTTGCTTTTAGCACTGCAAAGTTTTTGTGCTCATAAGATTCAGTTTCATGGTGTGATTGACCTGAGTGGGGCACGTGCATGGGTACTTTGCAGTACAAACGGGGTCGTTCGTTCAGTACTGCGCACCGGAAAAACCATGCCCACCGTTTCTGTGGGATTGAGGATTTGATGACAAATTTGTCTGGCGGTATAAAATCACTGGTTTCATATATTGGTAAGTGCCGGTATTAAATCCATTCTACGATGTTTGATGATGTCCAACACGTGCGTCTCTCAGGGTTCAGGGTCAGTGCTGAATGCATTATCCGTTTATCTCTAATTCCCCTAGATCGCAGCTAGAACTCCTGAAATTCATTAGTCATCGCACAAAAGCTCGTATCTAATGGGTCTTCTTTATTCACCGTCCATTTTGAGCATTGAAACTTACCAGCGCGTACTTGGACACATCCATCACCACTTCTGAACTTCATCTTACTTGCTCCTTGTGAATACCCTATATCTTCGTTTATGCTTTTTTTGGAGAAAAGCGTTTGACCTTGCCGTTTATGTGACTTTTTCGTTATCTAACTCATTCCAGAACTAAAGATTTCTCCTTCCCTTCTTATATAATGGAAGGTCAGTGACAAGTTTTCAACTAGAACGTCTTCATTATGAAACAACAGCGGATTGAAAGCAAAACCCACGCTTTCTTTTTGAACGTGCAGTAAGAGTGATTTCTTTGGAGTCACCTACCATACTCGATACAATATTTTAAAATTGTTTGAAAGTAATCCTTACGATTTTCTATCTTCTGAAATACGAAATTCTTTTCATTCATAGGTCCTTACTACTGTGCTCACAAAATCCGTACTTCGCATGGTGTATGGGTGAAGAATCGCTGAAACGATTGTCGTCGTTCCGAAATCTCGAATCTTTAGTTAGTTCATTCAATATTTTTAAATATGGGGTTTTTCCAGAAACCTCCGAAACCAAATATTCAACTCTCCGTCATTTATACTTGGCATAAAGGGACAAATACACAATGGTAGCGATGCCGATCATCGCGCCCGCAGTAATCGTTCGATTTCCCTCCGGGTTCACCGAAGCACTCATCGCTCCGGTGTCGGAAAATTGTTACCATCCTTGTCCGAGAAATCACTTTCAACAGTCTACGTGGGAACGCTCTTGGTCAGCTGTCTCGGGACTCCAGAGAGAATCGGCTCGGCCAGCATTCTACGACATTTGTGAGGAAGGGAAAAATCGTCGGAGTTTTGCTGGTTTAGCCACTGCTGTTCCCTGGAATCCAGAGGTCAGCCAGGGCAAAATTTGCCCAGTCGTTACCACCATAGGCAGTCGCCACGCTTGTGCATCAGAGGGAGATTTTCCACTATGCGGCTAGTTTTGTGCAAGGACGGTGACGAATCCTGGTATTGGTTTGCTCTTAGCTGGGCTAACACCGGTCTCCTTCTCAACTTGGGAGATCTTGCCAGGGGGATGAATCTACCTGCCGTACATCGCAGCCCGACACCCAGGAACACCTCCCAGCCACGATGAGGCGGTAAACCGTTGGGAGGTTATTCAACGAAACGAATCGGATCTGGGGAATGATGGGGTCCGCAAAGTATATGTGAAAGATAAAATATAAATGAAAAAATTCAAAAAAATGTATAGTCGTATAAAATGAAAATGAAAAATTTATTTTTTTGCGTGAACCTGTAATGTTTTCGTTAAGGTCCTGGAGAATATGATCGACTCCGAGGTGCTCGATAGTATCAAAGAGGCTGTGGATCTGGGAAAATTGAGAAGCATACAAATGCGTCTCGATGCAAAACATCAGAGTGAAGTCGAAAATATGCTCTTTGTGCATATACAAGGTCGCTTATTCACCAGTTAACATTTCGTGAAACAAAAAATATTTTTCTAAGAGAAAAATTATTGATAATTTTTTCTTGTGAAAGCCACCACTATGGACTATGAATGTATTTGGACCTTCAGTGACTTTCCACTTTGACCCTTTTGGATATTTCTTTCCACGTAATTATTTGGGTTGTTCAAAAAATAACTTAAGGAGCACTGAATTTTCAAAGAAGCTTCGGTATCACTGTGAATATCTGGAGACAAACGGCTTTTTTCCTATTAATAAAATATCACTTTTTTTGTGAGGATAGCTGCATAAAGTGTGAAACCGAACTGCTTAGGAGATCCTTAAATTGCATACTTTATCAAATCTGTGATTAACTACTGTTCGTTTTCTAAATGGAAATCAAGTTTTAGAAGAATGAAATCAGCAGGTGAATAACTTTATATATATATATATATATATAAATTGTTTAAAGAAGTGGAAAAATGGCTGTAGTGCAGCTTAGTCGAGCGACGAAATTCTTTCCAGGATCTCTTCTGACATCACTAGCTGCCGCTCACGTTCATTGCCTGGATTTCTCAGCTTTTCGCGGATCAGCATCAGCTATAATCACTATCACCGCCCCAGATATGTGCTATTTCATCAGTGTGAGCCCGCTATTTTATTAAAATCCTATCTTATGAAAGGCAATGCAAGAACCTCGGTTTTGCAGTGGGTAACAAGCCTCTGTAAAGGGTAGTCGCGGATTCAGAGCTGGACTGGGGTTACGAGTTTTGCAAACATCTCAGCATCATTATGTTCGTATTTCACTTCATACCCTACCATGAAAAAATAATAGGCAGTAAATGTTAAATATTATTTTATTGCTGTTGTTATTCATTCGACCTTCGTAGTTTCTTCGAGGTAATCCAACATTTTTGAAAACCAAGAGGAAAAGCTTCCTATTTAGTCGCTCTAAAAGCTCTAGCCTCCTAACGGTTTACCGCCTTATTGTGGCTGGGAGGTGTTCCTGTGTGTTGTGCTACGATGTACAGTAGCGGGGATTCGTCCCCATGAGAGGGTCTCCAACCTGGGAAGGAGCCCGGGTTTTTCATCAGGATGCCCAGCTGAGAGTCAACCAATACCAGGATCCACATCCATCCTGGCATGAAACTAGTCGCATGGTGGCAAATCTCCGTTTGAACCACAAGTGCGGCGACCGCTGTTGTGGTGGCTAAACTAGTAAAACGCCGAAAAAGTGGAGGTTATTCTGGAACCCGCGCTACCAGTGAGAACGGCCTATCGAACTATCGAACTAAGTAAGTAAAAGCCCTTAAGCTGTCGTCGTTGATCAATCCGTGGGGATACGCCATGCATACGACTTCGTTAGGCATCGTTGAAGGTGATTGAATGCATATCCGGCCTTCCCAATGACTGACAATGGCCTATCGATAAGTCGAACTTGTGTTTCTCTCCTCCAGACAAGTTTGGTGCCAATTTTCCAACTCCGGAGGAGAGGGATGGAAGGCTTGGTGAGCCTTGGGCGTAAGGGTAGATTCCATGTGTATTGCAGGATGTCTCCGGCCACTACGCTAAACGCGCACTCTGGTCGCATAGTTGAAAAATAGAAACGTAAATTAGTGAGAATGTGAAAATACGTAAATTGTTTTCATTGTAATAAGGTTTAAAAATAATAATGAAGTGCAGATCAAACTTTGATAACTTTCCATACTACTTCCTTTTTTCACATTATTACACCTTTTTCCGAATTTTTTATTATTTGGAGTAAAGTCCTACTCAAATACTGCTTGATAAGATGGGACAGTGAGTTGCCTACATTGCTAATCATAACTTTAGTGATGCTAAGATGTTTGCAAAACTCCGGACCGCAAGTGTCTGCAGTGTGGAACGAACGCACTATTACCCTTTCCGGGGAGTAACGCGTTCACCACCACGCCATGCGGATCCTTCGTTTCGCCTGTCTCTCAGATAGTTCTATCGATCACTGCCCTCAGAAATCACCGGCGATTCAAAAACCAGCGATTTGCCTCCTCTCCAGATCAATTCCGCTGACGGGTAATAGCGCAGGTGTTCCTCACCGCAGACACGTACGATCCGGAGTTTTGCAAGTATCTGAGCATCGCAGGAGTTATATTTCGCAAAGTACCCTGCCATTAAAAAGAGTGGGCAGTAAATAATAAGCTGAAATTGTGATTGTTAACCATAATACCAGTCATGGCTCATTTCACAACCATTCGGTCGAAATTAATCAAATGGAATAGTGCCGAAGGAATTATATAGCTCGGTTTCGTATTACCTTTCCCAAAATCGCACCATTAAAAATTTCCGTCCGTTTTCTATCGGAAAAAAAAGAACTCAGCATAACAAGTTATTGCTCGTTCATTATTGTTTTTGGACCATCATCATTCCTGTTCGATTTCAGTTATGGCGAACGCTACCCGTTCCATGGATGATCAGGTCGATTCGCTTCAACTCTATGATCACCACTAGTGAATTCCGTACGGTGGCCAGTCGTCAAGGATTGTTCGACGGCCCGCTGAGGGACATACCGCGCTGCGGCTTCCGAACCTACCATCCATCCAATCCGAATGCGATTCTCCAACTATCCTACTACGGTAACGGGGTCAGTGCTTAGGTCTTAGTATCTCCTCTTAAGTGCTACTCCATCGGTAACTAAAAGTTTCTCAAACCCAGTTATTTCTCGTTATTCTTGTTGAGCAAACACGAGATCTTACTTTATTTTTTATTCCGTTAAAGCTGATGTTTCAGCAGTATCGCTTTCTTCAGAGCTTGGTGGAAGGGTATATAGATATGGAATTCAACAAGAATATCGAGAACTATTTGATCAATGCTGAGGTTAGCACAAAGTCGGTCGTGGGAATTACCACAAGACGTGCCGGTTGCTTTTCCCTCTATTCTAAAGAACCTTTGTTAAAGGTCCGAAATTGCTATCGATGGCTCTAAAAGCAACGAAAATTTCTGTACACGTTCCTCCGTGATTTGTTCGTGTCAATTTTTTGAGAAGAAAGTGAATTTCATACGAGTTTTCTCACCGGTATAATCTATCATGTTTTTAGTATTTTTACTTACTTGGAAACATGGTTGGTCCGTCTCCACAGGTTGTGCGGGCACCAGCATAATTTACATTTTTTCGGAGTTTTGCTTATTTAGTCATTGTGGTTACCTGGAGTCCCGAGGTAAGCCTGGCCAAAGTCTGCCCCAGGTGTTCACCACCACGGGCAGTCGCCACCTTTGTGGATCAGATTTGTCACCAGGCGACTACCTTGGTACCAGGACGGTGGTGGATCCTAGTACTGGTTTCCTGTTAGCTGAGTTCCCTGATGGAAACGCCGAAGTTCTTCTCAGCTTGGAAGGCCCTGCTAGGGATGAATCCCCGCTCAACGCCGCAGGGCGGCACCCACAAACACCTCCCAGTCACGATGAGGCGGTAAACCGTTGGAAGGTTCTCGTATTTTTTGGTGATGGAAACCCTTAAAACGTGAAACTATAGGAAAAGAAAAACTGTTAGCTATGCTATTAAAGACATGTTATAACAACTGAGTTGAGGTTCAATAATCGCGAATTTTAAAACGTTTAAAATCCACTTTGTTAATGTTAAAAATTGGAGTGCCGCATTTTTCCCACAATTTTGTGGATACCTGGGTTCTCCTCTTCAAAATCTGTGAGAATCACAGCATATTCACCATTTATCTGGCGGGTTTGGATCTGATTGGTCCAGGTTTCCTTTCTTAACCCTTAGATTGCCGGCCGTTTCATCACCTGGTCGTTACTACAAGCGTTCGGTGTTAGATTACAAAAACACTTCACCGCTCTGAGACGTCCAGTTATCGGCAGGGTAGGGACCAAGTATACGGATATTTGACCATTCGATTGCCTTGCGTCATAATGACCTTGTCGCCTGACGATTTTTGGAAACCATAGATGATATTGACTAAAGCGTCAGGCAATGGTAAATCCCTCAGAGATATGATATCAGCCATCAACTGGTTTGTGCTTTATAGAACTAACTGAATGCATATTTATCCTTTAGAACAATTTACGTTCTCAAATAGTATCATATATCTGAGGGATTTATCAATCGCAATAACTTCTTGATCCACTTATAGGAGATACAGGACTTGGTTTTCTCAAGCGCGGATTGAACGAATGTTCTCCGGTGTGTTGTGTGACACTTCTAACGATTCCTCAGCCTGCGAACGTCATGCTTGTTCAAACAAAACTCTTAGATGAATTACAGAGTATTTGATCGAATCACAACCGATTTTCAGGTTTCCACCGAGTGGTGCATTCAATCAGGCTATGTAGCTTCGTAAAAGAACCTTATCATAAGATAAGATTGCTCAGATATCGATACATTTCTTAGAAATGCTAGGTGTTTTCCTTCCTAGGTATTTAGTATCCTGAAGATGTATTTCACCTTAGTGCTTTCTCATTGGCATTTGATCTAGTCAGCAGTTTTCTTTCTCAGTTCGATCCTCGCTCAAGAGATTCTATCGCATTTTCTTTTGCATTTTTTCGTATTTTTTGATGATATCTTTTCCTGTTCTTATCCCATAGTAATGGTAGGTCTGTGAGAAATTTATTACTTGCAAAAAATTCGTGAAATGAAGATGTCGTAAAGTGTGTTGGTTGGTAATGATAAACACACAAATGGTTCAACTGTGATTGCATCGTACACTCCTCTTATTTCATTTCTCTTTAAATTTTGGACCAGGCCTTTGAAAAACACCAGTGAGTGTCCTGTCTTTGGTGGGGCGCGCGTGGCGCAGTGGTCGGAGTTGCCGTGCAACACACATGGGATCGATACCCGCGCCTCCGAATCATGAAGCCTTCCTTCTCTCCTTAGCAGACTGGTAGCTGACTTGTCTGGAAGGATAGCAGTACTGGCTCGATACATCGGTAGGTTACCGCGAGTCACTGTAAAGGCCAGATATGCATTCAGTCACCTCCAACGATACTTAATGTGGTCGAATACATGGCCCATCCCTCAGTGATTGAACAATCCCAAGAGCTTTATCGTTTATCATTTGTCCTTTATCCTATTTTCGGTGTTTCTCAGGAATCAAGAACGGTGTCCTAATGGCAGTTATTTAGACATCGGGCCTCGATACCTCTTCCATTCGATTCCTTGTTTTCGTTCACTGAGGTGGTTGGTTCATGTTCCGACGGGGTCTGTCGTCTTATGCGCTGACTAAAAATCTGACGTTCTCAGTTACCCCGAGACAGCTACGCTCAAATGTTCCCACTTCTTCATCGTGATCAGTTGCCAGCCATTGTGGGTGATCGGTGAGGACCTTTCCTTGTCTTTGCAGAATGATTCCGGCAGAATCTTAGTGATAGTTTCGATTAGTTGGAATCCTTAGGCAACATTCCATAACATTCCATCCCTAAACGCCATATTTCGACCTATAACTGTTTGTGGCCTTCTTTGTTGTTTGCAGAAGAATTAAAGTAGCTAGGCGATGGGTGAGATAGATTTAGGATGACCTTGACATTCATAAGCTGTACACTCTAAAACCGAATAATAATTACTATTCAAATATTCGAAAAATTTCGCATTCGATAACAAATTGCCTATTTTTGTCACTTTTGCTCTTATTGAACGCAGAGAGGCATAAAATCACTGGTGTGGCTTTGTACTTTTTTCACATACTTGGATGATTGGACGGCCCGTCTTCACTGGTTTTACGCTCCCCAGCATAATTTCCGTCTTTTCGGAGTTTTACCGGTTTGGCCACTGTGGTTCCCTGGAGTTCCGAGGTCAGCCTGACCAAAGTTTTCCCCAGGTCGTCATCGCCACAAGCTGTCGTCGGCCTTTGTGGATCAGAGGGAGATTGACCACTATGCGAGTAGTTCCATGCCAGGATGGTGGTGGATCCAGGTATTGGTTTACTCTTAGCCGGGCCTCCTCATGGAGACGGCGGACTCCTCAACTTGTAAGGCCTTGGCGGGGGATGAATCACCCCGCTGTAGATGGCAGCCCGACACCCAGAAACACTTCCCAGCCACTATGAGGCGGTAAATCGTTGGGAGGATTTTCGATATAAATTAGTCGATCTCAATTCTTCACTTAGCCTATTATTTTTCACGGTTATTTTTTGATACGATTCCTATTCTGTCCTTTTTCACTCTAAGCCGATAACTTAGTTCACGTGTCATCCAGCAAAACTGTGTCGGTCACATCCACATTTTTCCTGCTGTTGTGCGGGAATGTTTTTATTCTTATTGTTTCATGTGGATTTCTATCAGTTTCTAAAAGACAAATCTCCACCTCGTTTAAAACTAACATCTACATTATTGACTTTTTATTTACTGCTTGTTACAATTGTTTCATGGCAGGGTAATACGTCTGACTCAACCACAATGATGCTGAGATACTTGAAAACTCCGGGCCGCAGGTGTCTGTGGTGAGGAACGAAGACGCTATTACCCTTTCCGGGGTCTAACTCGTTTACCACCACACCATGCGGATTTTTCGTTTCGCCTGTTACTCAGCTGGTTCTATCGATCAGTGCCCTCAGCAATCACCCGTCAACAGTACTGATCTGACGTTTATATTTTTCTTCAAATAAGAGTTAGGCAACCATCTGGACACTAACGTTGTGGAAACGGAAAGAATTTATAAGGAGCGAAAGGTTTATAGCAAAAATTCCATGAAAGTGACAAAAAAGAAAAGAGTCGCGTCTCCAACTCATTATTTACTCGAGATTCTTTCCACTTCTGCTCAGCAAACGCTCATTACGCTTAAATTCTGTGTGGTTGGTCTTCACATGACATACTCAGTGAAAGACTCATAGAACGCGGCTCTGAGGAAGGCGAAACCCACTGAAACGTCAGCTTTTACGTGAGTGGAGAAGTGGAATAGCACCTCGTATTTGCAGAGCAGAAGTGGAAAGAATTGTTCAATCAATGCCGAGGTTAATAGAAAGTCGGTCGTGGGAGTTACTCGAGATTGTTGTACAGATTCTAGAAAAATGATGTCCGAAGAGTTTCATCAAATATTTGTTGCACTGGAGTGTTGGTGATTTCGATTAGCGATGAGTTAGGTAAATATTGGTATAATGAACTCTGTTGGTAGTGATGACACATCTGCGTTCCGATGAAACTGCCTGGGCGCTTTACTCATCTGTTCAGGACTAGCAAAGATGCTGTAGCCATGACGCCAATTACGGGATACACAAAATCGTACTCGAGGGAGGCGATACAGACGAGTGGTGAATGTGAGAGTGGGGAACACCTTTTGTAGGCGCTCACTTTGTCATTCTATAAATGATAAACCGGAAACGATAGCGGTGAGTACTGCGATATCAGTCGAAAATAGGCTACCAACATCGAAATTTCCTATCTATCAGCGAAATGCAAAGTGACCAATCAATACTGGAATCATCAGGTTAGAATGAAAACCAATGTTGAACAAATAGAGTTCAATGTGGTTTAATTTGATTTAATACGTCGTGGAGCGGATCTAACACGAATGAACTTCCATTCTTAGCACGTGTGAAGAAGAATTGACATAGGGATTTAAGTGTTGATTTTCTATATAACCCTAGGCCACACATCGTAGGCATGTTGGGAGTTCACACAACCGGTACATTGTCTCACATCATCCACGGAGATCTTCGGATTTACTCGTGCCTTCTTGTTCCACTTGAGAACTTTGTCTTCATTGTTGCCGTTAAAGCCACTTCGAACTAGTTCTCTTTGAAATTCCTAGCTCATCAGTATATACGGTCGCGCTAGGCTCTGTAGACCGGAGGAAGCTTTTTTCAGGCAAATCTGGTAGAAATTTCCCGATCTCAACGGGATGGAAGTCTTCGTAAATGAGCTTCAGGGCCCATCCAGGAATCATGGGTGTATTACTGCATGACATCTCTAACCACTGCTGTTCTCTTGCCGACCTTGGTATTGGTTTTTTTTATTTACAAAACCACAAAACCCGTCTTTCACATTTACTAGGCTTATCCCAGCACTCCTCGTATTCGATTGGTTTCCTCGCATCCATTATCTGCGAGCCTTTCAACTTTCAACGTATGGATTTGAGTGCTGCTTGAGGATTTTCTTTTCATCATGCATGTTGGTGAATACTGGTCAAGTCGATTCTCCCTGTAGTCCTTAGATACTCTGGCTAGAGCGTCTCCAGTTGGACTGCAGGGACTGAATCTTTCTCGACAAGTCTGACACCAATTTTCTGACTCTGGAGGGTTGGGAGCCTTGATGGGCCTGGAGCAGAATCGAAGCAGCACCGTGCTCGTGATGGCTGGCATATCACTACCACCGTACTGCCTGCCTCTGTTGGTGTTTATAGAATGTACGACGTTGAAGTGAAATGCGATAAAGTCAACGTTTATTTCTGTAGATTTATTCTCCGTAGTTCTGAATGCGAATAAAACGTGCATGCGACAGTGACATAGTGCGAAGAGAAGGTAATAGGTGTCCGATGAGAACGTTGAAGTGAGTGCTAACAAAATAAAGCGAAGAGACCTCTCTGTATCCATCAGAAAGGTGGACCAAAGTGTTTTGTTGCAGGCGTGTGTCACCTGTAATCAAAGTTTACTCCCATAACTGGTAACGGAACCCAGAAATGTGGACACCTTCACGAGTACCTTTTGCGAGAAAGGGAAATGAATGAAAGTAATGCTAGGTTTTCATATGTCATTTGAGAACGGGCTATCTAATTATTTAACGTCTAGTCACATAGCAGAAATGGAATGAAACTGAAACAACCTCATTTATTCCCAATAAATACGTTTGGAACCAAGAAATATTGATCAATATTCGCCCCTTGGTGATGTTCAAGAAATAGGTCTATTTTTCTGTTGCAAAATTGATATTGTACTAAAGAAACTTTATTAGCTCTCCAAATAAACGGTTATGATAGCCGGTTATCGACAGGAATTATCCATCAAAATGGGCGATATTCTTGAAATTGACCAAAAAACCAACAAATAACATGTGAAGAACGAGAATGAGGACTAGGTTACTGTATTTATAGGTTGCCGAGTCTAAAATCGGTGGAATCACTATACCAGAGATGTTGACTAATGTGCTGATTACAACGGAAGGCATTGAATAGTCGAATATTCGCTCAACAATTTTCAAGAAAACATAACCTGCTTCTCTGGTATTCTATTTTTCTTGTAGCCGATCCTTCGAGAGGCTTGTGGTAGGGTGCCCTTGGGAAATACTACCCTAAATAACCGAGGTACTGTCAATGCTAACGGAAACCCCTAATTACTCCCACCAGTCAATAACAATGAAGAGAAATCCACCTCATCAAACACCAACAATTCTCCCAACGGTTTACCGGCTCATCGTGGCCGGGTGATGTTTTTGGGTGTCGAACTGCAATGTACAGAATTGTACAGCTGGGGATTCATTCCGACAACAGGGTCTCCTAAGCTGAGCGGTTCTACGTTTTCACCAAGAAGTCCATCTAAGGGTAAACCAGCACTAGCATCGACCACCTTCCTGGTATCAAACTAGTCGCTTGGTGGGAAATCTCCCTCTGATGCACGAAAACGGCGACTGCCTCTGGTGCTAACACCAGGGCCAGGTTTAAGCCAGGCCGACCTCGGGATTTCAGGAAATCACTGACTCGACACGAAGGTGATTCCACCACATCGAGACGAGTAACAAGCGTGGACCATCGACTCGGATCATCGGCTCCGATGAAGGCGAATACGCCGAAGCGTTAGACAAAAATAAATATATTTATCAATGTCTTGTAAGCTCATCAAAGAAAGAATATATTTTGGTTTAGTAATTTCTTTGCTGTGGTTGTGGAGGTGTTTGCCTGGATAGACTGCAGTTTGGTTGGCGTTTCCAAGGTCGGAAAAGGGAGAAATCCGCCGAAGCGTCAACTTTTCCGTTAATAAAGAATTAAGTAACATCTCGTGTTTGTTCATCGAGAACGTAGCTTAGCTGTGTCGAGGTTTGGTGCCAGTTTAACGAAACGCGAGAAGGTCAGAGAATACTAAGGATTTCTTGGTTAGAAGAATAAATAATATTTAATAAATAGAGTCCTATTGATGTGATTTAGTTTAGTAAATAGGCAGCAGACCAGCCGGCACGAATTGATCTCCAATCACATCACGTGGTAAGAATGGTTGACCATGGATCATAACTGTTAATTTCCCATATAATTCGACGTCACATGTTTTGTGGATTTCAACACTTCACTCAGTCCGTTAACCATCTCTCATCATCCACGCAAGTCTTCGAATTTGCTTATGGGTTATGCTGCCTCTTGCCGAGCACCTTTGGGATAGATTTTTTTTGAAATGCTAAAATAGCCCCACTAGAGCGTAGTTGTTCATTACTACGCACAGTTGAAAGGCTTTATGCATCAGAGGAGGGAGCTTTCCTCAGACAAGTCCTGTACCAATTCTCCGACCTCAGTGGGATGAGAGGCTTGGATGGTCCACTGTGGAATCGAACTAGTAGCATGCCCGCAATGACAGACATCACTACCACTGTGCTACTCACCCTTAGTGTTGGCCAAACGGCAGATAGTTACCGAAAGTATTGAATAGCTGAATATTTGCTTCGCGGTCTTTAAAAAAAACTTGAAGATCTGCTTTTCTGTTATTCTATTATTGGGGCATTCGATCCTTTAAATAGATTGTCTTAGGTTTGTTTTCTAGAAAAATGCTACAGTGAATCATCGAGATGGGGCCAATTGTAACGAAAATCCCTGATTTCCAGCGTTAGTTAAGAAATAAACGCTCAAACAAAAAAACCTTGCTGGCCTAAACAATGTATCAGACGCACCCTTCTAAAAAAATTACGCCTAGAATTCTTCTTATAATGTGAAATTTGAGTTCTGCCATTTCATATGGCGAATAACCGTTATGGTTTGAAGGTAAATTTGGAATGGCGTGAAAATTAATTATGTGCAAATTGCGGATCCGCATGGTGTAGTGGTGAGTGCGTTACTCCCCGGAAAGGAAAACAGCGTGTTCGTTCCCCACTACAAACACGTACGATATGAAGTTTTGCAAATATCACAGCATCATTGAAGTTATGTGTAAATTAAGCTAACAAAAATGGTGACTAGATTTTGATCTCCACCGTAAGAGATGACTTCAAAGCTTTATTTTGTTACTTAATGAATGAAAAAATGAGTAAAAAGAACAGTGCTATGTACAAACATTTGCGTGAACGGGAAAAATTTGAGTCAAGTCATTGTGAATGTTAACGATGACGGAGAAAAAAAACAATGATGAGGAGGAAAAAAGCAATCACTACGAATGACAGAAATGCTTAGAAGTAAAGTTTACTTGAGGTGGAATGAAAAAGTGACCGTATGAGGTGATAAGAGGCTTCATCCAAAACGATTGAAGTAACCCCAACACGAATAGGCTCTATTTACTCGCGATAAGTCTGACGCTGAGAAATCTGTACTCGTACCCATGACATTCAAATAGCGAGGATCCTGAACACAATTGACGAATAACACGCTAAAAACAAACCATGTGTAATCGTTCTCAGCAATTTTTCTTTCTCCTTATTTTTGAATCTCCTTCGTTTTAAGGAATTTCCAGCTCAGTTCATTAGTAGGCTACGTGGTGCACGCTTCTTGGCCACGTGGTCGTATTGGTTTAAATGAGGAAAAAGGGACCACAAACTTAATATTTATCCTGTGATGCAGGTAAACTCAACAGTTTTCCATATCTTCAATTTTCCTATACAAGCAGGTGTATTTATTCATATGTGAATGAGTTCGATGTTTTTTCATCAATGAGCAAACACGAGATTGTTATAAAGAATAAAGCTTTCGGCGTTGATCAATCCCTGAGGGGTGCGACATGCATTCGATGTCAGTAAGCAACGTTGGAAGTGATTGAATGCATATCTGGCCTTTCGCAGTGGCCTACCGATGTATCGAGCCAGTGCTGCTATCTTCCCAGACAAGTCCGGTACCAAATTGCCGACCCCGGAGGGATGGAGGGTTTGGTGTACCATGGGCGCAGAGATCGATTCCACCTGTGCGTCGCAGTGGCGCCTCCAACCACTGCGCCACACGAGCCTTTCGAGATTGATATTATAGAATTTATTAGCACACAATAGCTGATGCTTCACCGATTTCGCCTTCTTCAAAGCACAGAAGAATTAGATTGATACGCTGTTCGCTCAGCCGAATGCTTTCATAGCTTCTGCATACAAGAAATGTTGAATAAATCTTTTAACAGCCTCGTGTTTGCCGATCATGAAAACAGTGAATTATAGATTTTTTAGGTTTTCCGAAATGAACCCGATTCACAAAGTTCTGCACTATTTCGATGACTGTCGAGTAAAGAAAAACATTTTTGGGAGTTCAAACAAATACGAACGCTGAGTAATGTCGATTTTAGTGATAAGAACTACTACGCTATGACTAACGTTTCCCAAAACACTGAAAGCTAAGAAAAAATTGGTGAGCGATAGTTGAGAGCAAATGAGTAATACTATTTAAGATCTTCGTTGGTCATCTCCCAAAACTTCCTCGGCACTACCGGTTCTGAAACCTGATGAGTTTCCAATCACTGCATTGTTTTCCATACGTGAAAAAAAGCCTAGATAATGAAAAAAGCTTCGTAAAACCTTGGGCTCGATTGTGTCTTGTCCATTCTTACTGCCTTCATCTCTCTCATAGTGCATGATTGACAAATAATCATAATCTTCACCATAGTATGATAAATCTAGCATTGACAGTTTATCGAAGTCCATACTGGCTCCTAGAAAAGTCATAATTTTTCAAATGGCCTGAACTACGAAATTTTGCCTTGATCTACCGTAAAATCTACTTTAATCTTGAGGTCTCATTATTAAAATCCTGGAATCTTACCTGGAATGATATTCTGATAGAGAATTTCCACATAGCTATCACGATCCTCACGTTGATGCTCGTGGATGAAACCTTCAAAATACAAAACGGCGTAAAGATTAATTGAAATGCTGAACAACTCAAGTTTTTATAAAGGGAGGGTAATGGCAATAATGGTAATGGTAATGTAATGGTAATCCTTTAAATTCGAGAGAAGTGCAGAAGGTTCGTGATAATATTGTTATACTTACTTACTTGTTACTTCAATGGCCCGTCACTGGTTGTGCAGGCCCCAGCATAATCTTCATTTTTAGGAGGTTTGCTGGTTCCCAGGAATCTCCAGGTCAGCCTAGCCAAAGCCTGCTCCAGGTTTTCACTACCACACGAGTTGCAGCCCTTGTGGATCAAAGGGAGATTTGCCACCATGTGGCTTCGATAGCAGGACGGTGATGGGTCCTGGCATTGGTTTACTCCTAGCTAGGCTTCCTGATGGAAACGCCGGACTCCTTCTTAGCTTGGGAGACACTGCCGGAGGACGAATCACTCTGCTGTACATCGCAGTCCGACACCCAAAAACACCTCCCAGCCACGATGAGGCGATAAACCGTTGGGAGGATAATATATTATTTTGCTAAGAAATGGAACCTTTTCTTAATTTCTGATTTACAATTTTTGAAGAAAAAAGAACCACAAACAAACCGATGACGTGCATTAATTCGTGTATGATTGTTGGGTAATTGATGCATTCATCTGCCAACGACACTTGCTGAGGGCCACCAACACGGGCGAAATCCGCATAACATCTGGAACCACCAAGGTCTTCGATGACAGAAAAGAAGATTTCATTAAAAATTTTTATTGAAAGCAAGAGCTTTTTCATAGTTCTGAAATACGTCTACGTGTGTCTAAAGCGTAGTGCAAGCCACAGGTAGCACAGTCTTACTGCTGTCGTCCAGTACTCACAAAGCTTTGAGTAGATCCCGCCTGGCACCAACGAAACATATTATCTCCAGACACTAAAGGACTAGGTGATGAGCTTGGCTGCGGTCAGCTCGCTGTCCTTCAATCCACAAAAGCTGACTATCAAGAACAGCCAGCTCGATTAGAATTCAACGACAATCATTAAGTTGATAACAATCTTCAAATAACAACTGAATCCATGTGGAATAGTTCGAAAACCTTAGTGGATGGTAGATCCGAGAAAACAAGTAAAATTTTAGAATTGCAGCGCATACTGTTGATGTCAACTTATATAAAATAAAAAAAAAGAAAATAAGGAAGAGGCCATTATCATCATGGATGGGTACGGTCACCGCATTTCACAAGGTAGGGAATCCCATCATCATGGGCGGGTTTATCAACAAAACTAGCAGTGACCGGAAAGCTTGGTTGATCTCGTTGAGCGATTCAACCTATGTTTTTTACATATTGCATTATTTTAAACTATAGCTTCCTCCAACGTGTTTATTAACACGAAATAGACCAAACACACGCAACTGGTTCGCGATGTACAACTACTCTTTTAAGACGAAGAAAAATAGAAAAGGGTAAAGCTCTCGGCATTGATCAATCCCTGAGGGATGCGCCATGCATTCGACTTCATTAAGCATCGTTTGGAGGTGACTGAATGCATATCTGGACTGTGCAATGATTCGCGGTGGGCTACCGATGTATCGAACCAGTGCTGCTATCCTACTAGACAAGTCTGGTACCAATTTGCCGACCGTCGAGGGATGGAAGGCTTGGTGGGCCATGGGCGCGGGGATCGATTCCACGTGTGTGTAGTAGGATAGCAGGGTGCCTCTGGCCACTGCGCCACACGCGTCCCTAAGAGGAAGAGAAGTAGAGATTCTTAAAGAGCTTTAGGTAGAAAGGAGAGACAATGAATCTTAATTCCATCACTTAACCACTAGGGGAAACTCAGCAACGCATTAAGTCACCATTAAAACGTTCTCTTGTTCTATTACGAAACAGAGGTTGCATCGACATGTTTATATAACTTAACACAGGGTGAGTGCTTCAATGGGATCTGAAAAAAAGAAGGGTGGTACAAATATTTCAACATAGGTCATTGGGAAGATATATAGGCGAAAAATAAATAATTGTGACGCCGTTGATTTCATTTCAATGGCTTTATGATGTGATATTTATTCACGTGGAGTACCGCAGGTTCAGGTCGCGGGTAGCGCGGTGGTCAGAGGTGCCCTGTAATACGCACAGGTTCGATCCTGTGCCCCAGGCCCATGAGGTCCTCCATTTCTTCGGGGTCGACAAATTGGCACCAAACTTGTCTGAGAGGATAGCAGCACTGACTCGATACATCGGTAGGCCACCGCGAATCATTGTAAAGGAGAGATATGCATTCCATCACCTGATGCAGTCGAATGCATGGCGCACCTCTCGGGGTTTGATCAACGCCGAGAACTTTAACCTTTATCCTTCAACGTTGGTTCAGAAGCGGCCCAACGCAGCTGGGGCCGGTTGTGGAGCGCGTCGAGCGCTAAACACGAAGCAGCTCTTGATTTATTTGCAAGATACTGCTGAAGTTTCCTAAAGCATAAAAAAAAACAATACCACGGTGAATTGAGGTAAACTGTTCAGAATGGAAAGCGATCCCTCTACGTATTCTTGTTTAAGGTCTTTTTTGAATTTATTCTAGCCGAGATTTTTTTAGATACATTGACTCTCGAGTTTACCCATCAAGCTTAGAGATCACAATATAATCGAAATCCATTGGCGTCTTTGGAACGAAGCGTATGCACGTTTTCGCCTGATAGCTGGCGATGGCGCGAGCGATCACTGCACGTTGATGTTCGGCTGAAAAAAAAGCCAAAGAAAACGTTACAAAGAATGGCAATGTCGTTCTGAGAACAGAAACGTTCTTCTTTATGACACGTCTCACAAAAATTTGTGAAAGTAATTTTAGAACACTAAATGGGATCGTGGAACCACTTTCGCTCTGTTCAATTATCCCTTAGTGTCTTTTTTAAATGTAGAGTAGAAATGCTTACTGTAGGCCGCCGAAAGTATATACGGTACTCGCCCACCAGGCCATTTGTCATCTTCCGATACAACACCAACACCGCCAGATCTTCGAGCTCTCTGAAACAATACAGCTATAAGTACTAATGTTCATTCTATAAACAAACTTCCCTTTAATCTTGGCATGACTGATCAGCAAACATTCTTTCATTAATAAGCTAAAACGAACTTGATAAAAAGCTTCATCCAAAATACGTCTCCGCTATTTCGCTCTCTTCAGAGCCTCATAGGCTCCGAGTTGATTATCCACAGGTGTTCCCTCCTCCAGTATGTGTCTTCGTGATCGAATCCAGTCGAAATCAGTAGAGCAGCGCTCGACTAAGTGACTTCACGCAAAAGAACAGTGAACAATCGATCCGGATGAATCTGGCTGTGAAGAGTGCAAAATCGCTGAAACGTTGGCCGAATAAATAGTTCCTCCTTCCTTCCCTCTTTCCTTCCTGTTAGCTAAGCAATCAAACAGTACACACCACTGTTTAGCTCTTTGGTGTTTCGAAGCGCTTGGCCATAACATGATTTCTTTGAAAAGTCAACAATATAGAACTCTATTCGGGCTATTACATCACCTAGAAGTAGCTGGTCTAACGATCTCAGAATACATTGCCATCGCAAGAACAAAAATGGCTGTGGTGATACCTGGGTAGTAAAGTAACAAAACTTACATTGATCAACGGAGCGAGGTAACTGCCAATTTTGACTAAGAAAGACCCCTTAGGCTTACCGGCTTCGATTTCTATGGAAAGTCCTGCTTCCCCAGCATTTAACATGCCAGTGGGCTTCTCAAGCTGCAGCCGTATTCACCCATAAATCCAACCGACCCATTTCATGGTGACACCTATAGTTGCACCCATACACCTCTCAACGGAATGATAGCACCTATAGGTTAATAACACGACGGAAAAAAAGCGAAATAAAGAATTCGCATGGTTTAGTGGTGAACGTGTTAGCCTCCAGAAAGGGTAACTGCGTGTTCGATCTCTACCAGAAATTCCCAATTTTGCAAATATCTCAGCATCATTATGGTAAATGAGCAACTTTACAGTAAAGAGCTTTTTAGACGACCTGACATCACATATTGTGAATTTCTCACTTTCATTCTATTCGTTTCCTCGCACCTATCCTCCGCGAAAGTTCGTAATCAGGTTCGGTTGCTGTTTGAACGCTTACGACATTCGCTATGCATGCTGGTGAATATTGATCGAGTGGATTTCGCCTGGAAATCCTGAGTGTTTCTAGATCTTCACCACGGGAGTTTAACTTTTTCAAAACGAAGAAAGTTTCCCAGACAACTCTGGTATCAATTTCCTCATCCCGAACAGATGGAAGATTTACTCGGCGGCCAGGTGTTGAACTGAACACGGGTCTGGCGTGTATAGAACACCGTCTCTAACAGTACATTACCCCTTATCTGCACACAAATCTACAATACTTTAATGCGTTATTCTTCGTGGAAAACACTTTGAAGAACGTTACATGCGATATTTTGGCCTTAGGTTTGCGACGAGAACACTTTGTACTCCAGGTTGAAAACTCAATTCGATGGAAAATGAAGTTGAGAATAAAAAATACTATAGGCTTTCAAAGAGAAAACCTGTTGGAAAGATTTAGAGAGAGAAAGGATTAAAAAATTTAAAAGATCGACATTCTATAAAGCTCTACATAGTGATCGATATATATGTATACATGTTCTTACGAGCCGACGGTAAGTTGGTATAGATGTTTTTGCTGGTGCTGATGTCACTGTTAAGCAATGGATGATCATGCCTCGTGAACAACACTCGGGTGGTCCAACGGCAAGGCTCTGAGGAAGACGAAGTCGCCGAGGGGCCAGCCATTGTACAAAGACAGCGACAACAAAAAGAGAGTTATAAAAAAATGTTCAAAAAATGCTAAAGACGTATCCAAAACGAAATGTTGGCCAGAAACTCCGATATTTGTGTCATTACACTTTCCGCAGTATTGAAAATGTTGGACAGTTTTTGAACTACGTTTCTTTTCCTTAACCTTTTTATTTACTGCCTACTCTTTTTATGACAGGGTACATTGCGAAATATAACTTTTGTGGTGTTGAGATATTTGTAAAACACCGGACCGTAGGTGTGTGCAGTGGGGAACGAACGCGCTATACCCTTTCCGGGAGTTAACGCATTCACCACCACACCATGCGAGTCCTCCCTTTCGCCTGTCTCTCAGCTAGTTCTGTCGATCATTGCCATCAGCAATCACCGGCGATTCAAAAATCAGTGATTTTGGCTCCTCAGATCAATCCCGCTGACGGGTAATAGCGCGGGTGTTCCCCACCCCAGACCCGGAGTTTTGCAAATATCTCAGCATCACAAAAGTTGCATTTACTCTTGCTTTTCTTTCTTTTCTTTTCGTTTTCTTTCCTGCAATCGTTTTTTGTCCCGAAAACTTAAAATGCGGGTTATTTTATGACTGCGATGAGTTAGCTATGTTTTCTTTGAACCACAATTTAAACAAAAGCAGAAGGTTTCAAGAAGTAATAAAGTGTGTGTGAGGCCATTTACGATCCTCGAAGCGAAGATCTTGGCACCCGCCGTAAAATACGGTAGAGTAGTGAGAAAAATCCGCTCGATAACTGTTTAAGCTTTTAATAACATTTTGAGTGGAGCTGCTTGCGTATCTTTATCAATTCATTCACCGAAAGAACAAACCTTTAGTGAAAATCGCTGATCGTTGAAAAGAGGCCTCATTCGAGGGCCGGTCGTCGGTATTCGAGCGGCATTGATGAAGTCCTGATTGGTGAGAAAATTCGGCTGTGATGACACCGTCGACCAGAGGACGACCAGAAGCGGAATCACCGACGACCACATTGTCGCCGGGATGAGTCGTCGGAAAAATAATAAGGAGAATACAAGTTGGTAGACATGAAAAAGATAAAACGGAAGGACAGCGACGTCTCGAGAAGTAGACTCCATTCTTTCAATGTTCTAGATCCACCACGCTTATTGCATGAAGTTCCGTTTCGTTTTATAGAGATAAACGTTTATAAACGATAAACGAAGTTTCTTAACATTTTATAGAGGAAAAGACTTTGCAAAAAGTTTTAAAAAAAAACAAAACTTTTTAAAAAAGTTTTAGAAGAAACCTTAAGAAGAGCAGTGGGACTTCACAGGAACTTTTATCGCAAAGAATTAAGTCCTTTACGAGGAGAAGCAAAAAGTCGATACTTTCTCGACGGAAAAAGACGAAAATATGTGATGCACAATGATGACTAATGTCAAAAACGAGGGTATTAACCACTTTACCAGTTTTCTACGTTAATAATTTAATACTAAACTTTATTGCTTTTTCAATATTATTGTCAAATTCAATATGCAACAGCGTCGTCGATCGGGAAACAGACAAATCTGTAGAATCACTGCTGCCACAGAAATCGTTGACGTCTGAGAAGATTCTAAGTCGAGTGGTCCTCTCTCTGTGTCACTATGGCTGACTACTGAGTACTGTGAAGATCTGGCAACGCCTTAGCATAAGCTAATATAGGATTCTGGCAAACATCACCCTAAACCACCATCATTACATATGCCAATGGAAAAAGAGTTCCATGGATGCACGAATGAAGGGTTTGAGCTGGACAAGGAAGCTATTGGAAATAAAAAAGGCTGAAAAAAGTTTGATGCTTAGTTCGTCCTCAATAGGAAGCACTTACTTATCGTCAAACCAACCCGTTCCATATGTAAGATAAATGGATAACCTGGGAGGAGAGTGTTGTGTACCAGAAAGTCTATCAACTTGGTACTACGGTAATTCTTTCACATTCCCCAAGGGTTTGGTCAACTATAAAGGCTAAGAAGTTTATCCTTTTCACAAGTTAACGAAGTTAAACGAATTCGTACAGTACAAACAAACAGTCCTAAAGGTGAATTTGAGCTTACTGTTTATGTCAACGAAATGCACGTCGAACTGTGCCTCTTGCTGTAATACAAGAACAAATCCACTCCTCATGTAGGAAGCATTGCCATCTTTATGCATGTTTCTACACCAAAAAGCTTTTCTCCACGTGTACGATTTTTACCCAGAAGACCCAATTTTTAAGAAAAGCTTAAAAATGATGTATTTTTTGTGTTAAGACTTTATCAGCACCACCAATAGCAGGATCCGTCACCGTCCCGGTACCAAAGTAGTCGCATGGTGCCAAATCTCCCCCTGATCCACAAGGACTGCCTGTGGTGGTGAAGACCTGGGGCAGACATTGGCCAGGCTGACCTCGGGACTCCAGGTAACCACAATGACTAAACCAGGAAAGCTCTGACAATATGGAGATTATTATGGGACCCGCACAACCAGTGAGGAGAGGCGTCTAAATATCCAAGTAATTAAGTTAAACTTCATCAATTATGGTAAGAGCCGCAAAGCTACCGGATTATAACCAATGTTTCATAACTTAGATATTATATCCGATCAAAAGTTCATACCTCTCATGCCAAATAATTAATCAATTCTTATTTCGTTTTTTAAATAATAACGTTTTGAATTTTTATGGATATACACACAACAAGCATAGTACACGAAACAAGTCGAGTATTGAGGAGACGAAGAGACTGAAATTCGGATAGTTTGTGGACATAGCTGTACAACATCTTCCTGAGGAAAATGGAAAGATAAAAGCAGACATAAGGTTCAAATCAGAACCAGTGCTAAGAAGCAGCGAAAGAAGATGTTTTAGTGGGAATGAATAGAGCAAACTGAATACAATGAGCAAAAGTCAAGAGAGGAACATCTCGGAGAACTAAAGGAATTAAATCAAAGATTAACAGAAAAAATCAAAGTAAAAAAGTACGAAAATAGACCATCTTCTCTGAGAAGTGGAAGGATTCAGCTGAAGACAGCTCAAAGACGTAGCCACAGAGCATCCTCGGTCGGAAATCAGAGACCGCAGATCGACGCGACGAACGAAAAAACTTCCATCAAACAATCTAGGAGTTTCCGATCGCTTAATCACCAGTGTTATTATTTGGGATTAAAATATGGCGGAGTATCTTCGTAATTTTATCTCAAAAAATTAAAAGTTTTTGCCCTTTCCCCTTTTATTTTGTGTTGGAACTTTTACCTTTTTCCTCAATTTTTCTGCACTGTTTTTTTCTAGAGGTCTAACTACGTTGCTATACAGTTTGTTTAAGCTTTCCTCACTGAGGATTTATAATCAAGCCATCGATGATCTAAATCACTTCACGTTCTACAAGGAAAGTATTAAGAAAGCTCTCGGCGTTAATCAAACCCTGAGGGATACGCCATGCAACCGACTTCATTAAGTATCGTTAGAGGGATTTGAATGTATATGAGTCCTATACAATGTCTCGTGGTGGCCCACTGATGTATCGGGCCGGTGGTGCTATCCTCCCAGATAAGTGTGGTACCAATTTGCCGACCGGAGGGATGGAAGGCTTGGTGGGATAGGTGAACGGGTTCACTCCCCATTTGCACGACACAGCGCCTTCAACCACTGCTCTACACGCTGCCCTACGCACTCTAAATGGAAGAAAAAAGAGTTTTATCAATATCGGGGCAGTCTGACCTGGCAAACTATCCATAGGGTAAAAATTCTAATGTTCCGTGTCTTTCCCAAACGTGAGAACCCTAATGCATAGTTTTGGTACGACCTGGGGTTCGAGTAGCGTCATCTCGAGCCA